ACCTGCCCAGTACTGATTACCTCCTTTTCACCTCAAAATATCCATCTGAAATTAACTCAGATTTTATTACCAAAATGTCCATCCTGTTCTTACATAATTACCTCAGGGTTTGCCACCCAAATTCTACCTAGTGTTTACTACTGATCATTTCATTTCTACCTCAATATGTTCATTCTCTGCCCTACAGATCTTCCCAAGTTTTACCTCCAAAATTTCCTTGCCTACTCCCAGTAACAGCCCCAGTGCTGCTGCCTCGAGGGATTGGGAAAATGGGCATTAAACCCCTTCCCACAGGGCTGGCCCCGAGCTCTGGCTGGGGAGAGCATTGGAATCAGTTTCCAGCATTCTGGAGATACACTGAATAAACCCAGGGCACACAGATAAACCCTTCTCCATAAGGACAGCCCCAGGGAATACACAATCATTCCTAGGCCTGGTCAAACAAACCAGCAGCCAGTTTTTGGGGAGAGATTCCAGACTCTTGTCTCCCTCCCTGGCTGTAAAACGCTTGCAGGGACTTGGAAGTTAATACAAGCTTGTCATGAAGTGTCCTAAAGGCACCTCCACTCACACTTTAATTTTAAGCCCTCTACCACCAATGAATTTGGATGTTCTTTTGTTAGGAACACCCCACCTCTGCTTCTCTGGGCAACTCCATGGGGGAGATAAAATAAATGTGGACAAGAGTTTGGAATGCAGCTTCCAAGTCAAGTTCCCTGCTAGGAAATGACTCCAGCTCTAGGAAGCTACTGTGACACAGATCAATCAGAGCAGCATCTTGAAAAGAAACGTACAGCCTGCAGCAGCCAGAACAATCCCATTTCTGATTTTACCTGGTCTCCAGGTGCTCTGCCAGAGCTCCCACCAGCTGTTCCCATTCCCAGACAAGCCCGGGCAGCGCTATGGAAAGCACTGACAATGTCCACGAGGCCGAGGAGTCCGCTTTAGACGTGTTCTTTGCTGCAGAATCAGAAAGCAAGAGTTTAGACGCGCTTTGCAGTCCCTTCCGAACCAAATTCGATCCCAGAAACATTCCCGCTGATCCAGAGCTTTCAGGCCCGTGAGGCCGGGGAGCGGCGCCTGCAGCGCCGGGCGCGCCCACACGGCGGCAGCACTGACACACAAGGGCCAACGTCCCGCACGGCCACCTGACATGGCAGGACTGCGCATGCGCAACCCCCCCGGGGCGCAGTACCGCGCTCCGCCCGCAGGGGGCGCCACGCGCGCGCCGGCCGTCGGGAGAGCCGCGGGTGGAGCCGCTGGAATCGGGGATTTTTGGGGAGCTAAAGAGGGAAATACCGCACGAGGACAGATCATCGGGAAATTGCAGGGCTTCCTCTTAGTGCTCCTCCAACCATTCGTCCATGGAAGTCCACGATTTTCCCAGTACCTGCTGGAAAAATGAAAATTTTCCCTGTTTTCGGAGCGCTCCCAGTCCAGGCTGAGCACTTGAGGAATAAATAGCTGCTGCCCGTGTCCCAGGAAGAGCTTGTCTAGGTGAAAGCACTGGGAATGAGAGCTGGGCTTTGTCTCACCTCACTGTGCTCTAGCTGTGGTTCTTCATTTAGAGATAAAAAGATAAATTCAGGCTCCGTCTTGCCGCTCACCAGGGAGAGATCAACAGCTCCTAAAATCCCACTCTGTGACAGATAGAATAAACAAACATTGATTTTTCTCCTGGATGACATTAATCATGGCTTGACAGAATTACACCAGAGAGTAAACCCAGGGTAGGCACCACAGGCTCCTGACAAATGGATCCAAACCTAAAAATCATCATTATTGGATAAACCTTGGCTGAAGGGCTGAGCCTCATGCCCAGAACCTGACATCCCGTTGCAGATGTCCCAGAAGCCATGTGTCTGGTCTCCTGGTGCTCTAATGAGGATTTAGAGCTGCTTTTCATCACCCACGAGGAGATGCCGGAGGCAAGGAGACACCGGGAAGTGCTGGAGATGTCACAGATAATGAAAATCGAGCGGTTTGGGGGCTGAGCCCTCCCCGGGGCAGCCTCCACCTGCCTGCATCTGGAATCTGCCCCTGTCAGAGAACTGAATTCAGTGTTTTGATTAATCCAAGTTCAGCCTTGCTTCTTCTTCCTCAACAAACCTTTGCTTGGTGGAAGGATAGGAGACACAGAATGGAAAAGAATCCAGTTAAAAAGCAGGAATTGGATTTCATCCCTGCTGGGAGGCTGGTGCCTGGTCTGTGCTCGGTGTGGAATACTCATCCCTGTCCTCTGGGGTGAGGGTCTCCGCTGTGGCACCCGCTTTCCTACTCAAATTCCATAAGATCCCTGTGCAGGGCAGTAGAGGACCTTCCAACAGGCTGTACCAGGATTCACCAGGATCAGCCTGCCCGCCTGCCAGGGATCCAGGGGCAGCCACAGCTGCCCTGGGCACCCTGTGCCACCACCCTCCCAGGGAAGGATTGCTTCCCTATACCCAACACAAACATACCTGGAGGAAGATTTTGGCTCCTTTTCCCTCCCAGGTGCAGCTGGAGCAGTTTTCATGTCCTCAGGTAGAATTAGATGGATCAACATGCTCGAGGTAGCCCAGCAGAGGATGTGCCATGTCCCAGTGAGATCCACGCAGAATCCTGGAATGGTTTGGGAATTGGTTACTTTGGAAGCAGCTCCTTGAGAGGAGACCTGCACTGATAAATAAACACAATTAGTTAAATAAATTCAGTCAGTTTCAGAAAGTTAAATGGAAACTTGAGGATTGATTTCCTACTTCTGTATACATATATGACATATATATTTTTATTATTTTACATATTATTAAACATGTAAAATAACTTCAATATATTAATTTATTTTAATATATAATGAAAATGTTTATATATAATTTCTTAATATATATAAAGCATTTTTTCTTAGAAATACATAATTGTATATCTACAAATTTATCTCTTGGAATATGTAACTGATCTATAGGCATCACTGGGAATTAAAAAGAATTGATGCAGGAAATCAAGATCCAGGAGTTGGGAGACAGTCCAGGATTTGGAGAAGTGCTCCAACTGCAAACTGGGATCAAGGGAAAACCCTTCAGGAACTCTCCTGCTGCAAATAATTTTTACAGTTCCTGATGATGATTATAGTCTGAATTTAAGCCCTTGAGACTCAAATTGACTCCTGTGCCCAGAGTGTGCCTGCTCTGACTAAATCCCACATTTCCCACGAGCTCTGGCTGGGGAGAGCATTGGAATCAGTTTCCAGCATTCTGGAGATACACTGAATAAACCCAGGGCACACAGATAAACCCTTCTCCATAAGGACAGCCCCAGGGAATACACAATCATTCCTAGGCCTGGTCAAACAAACCAGCAGCCAGTTTTTGGGGAGAGATTCCAGACTCTTGTCTCCCTCCCTGGCTGTAAAACGCTTGCAGGGACTTGGAAGTTCATACAAGCTTGTCAGGGTTTGGATATTTCATTTAAATTCCATTCATATACTAAGGAATTTGAAGTGTCCTAAAGGCACCTCCACTCACACTTTAATTTTAAGCCCTCTACCACCAATGAATTTGGATGTTCTTTTGTTAGGAACACCCCACCTCTGCTTCTCTGGGCAACTCCATGGGGGAGATAAAATAAATGTGGACAAGAGTTTGGAATGCAGCTTCCAAGTCAAGTTCCCTGCTAGGAAATGACTCCAGCTCTAGGAAGCTACTGTGACACAGATCAATCAGAGCAGCATCTTGAAAAGAAACGTACAGCCTGCAGCAGCCAGAACAATCCCATTTCTGATTTTACCTGGTCTCCAGGTGCTCTGCCAGAGCTCCCACCAGCCGTTCCCATTCCCAGACAAGCCCGGGCAGCGCTATGGAAAGCACTGACAATGTCCACGAGGCCGAGGAGTCCGCTTTAGACGTGTTCTTTGCTGCAGAATCAGAAAGCAAGAGTTTAGACGCGCTTTGCAGTCCCTTCCGAACCAAATTCGATCCCAGAAACATTCCCGCTGATCCAGAGCTTTCAGGCCCGTGAGGCCGGGGAGCGGCGCCTGCAGCGCCGGGCGCGCCCACACGGCGGCAGCACTGACACACAAGGGCCAACGTCCCGCGCCGCCGCCTGACATGGCAGGACTGCGCATGCGCAACCCCCCCGGGGCGCAGTACCGCGCTCCGCCCGCAGGGGGCGCCACGCGCGCGCCGGCCGTCGGGAGAGCCGCGGGTGGAGCCGCTGGAATCGGGGATTTTTGGGGAGCTAAAGAGGGAAATACCGCACGAGGACAGATCATCGGGAAATTGCAGGGCTTCCTCTTAGTGCTCCTCCAACCATTCGTCCATGGAAGTCCACGATTTTCCCAGTACCTGCTGGAAAAATGAAAATTTTCCCTGTTTTCGGAGCGCTCCCAGTCCAGGCTGAGCACTTGAGGAATAAATAGCTGCTGCCCGTGTCCCAGGAAGAGCTTGTCTAGGTGAAAGCACTGGGAATGAGAGCTGGGCTTTGTCTCACCTCACTGTGCTCTAGCTGTGGTTCTTCATTTAGAGATAAAAAGATAAATTCAGGCTCCGTCTTGCCGCTCACCAGGGAGAGATCAACAGCTCCTAAAATCCCACTCTGTGACAGATAGAATAAACAAACATTGATTTTTCTCCTGGATGACATTAATCATGGCTTGACAGAATTACACCAGAGAGTAAACCCAGGGTAGGCACCACAGGCTCCTGACAAATGGATCCAAACCTAAAAATCATCATTATTGGATAAACCTTGGCTGAAGGGCTGAGCCTCATGCCCAGAACCTGACATCCCGTTGCAGATGTCCCAGAAGCCATGTGTCTGGTCTCCTGGTGCTCTAATGAGGATTTAGAGCTGCTTTTCATCACCCACGAGGAGATGCCGGAGGCAAGGAGACACCGGGAAGTGCTGGAGATGTCACAGATAATGAAAATCGAGCGGTTTGGGGGCTGAGCCCTCCCCGGGGCAGCCTCCACCTGCCTGCATCTGGAATCTGCCCCTGTCAGAGAACTGAATTCAGTGTTTTGATTAATCCAAGTTCAGCCTTGCTTCTTCTTCCTCAACAAACCTTTGCTTGGTGGAAGGATAGGAGACACAGAATGGAAAAGAATCCAGTTAAAAAGCAGGAATTGGATTTCATCCCTGCTGGGAGGCTGGTGCCTGGTCTGTGCTCGGTGTGGAATACTCATCCCTGTCCTCTGGGGTGAGGGTCTCCGCTGTGGCACCCGCTTTCCTACTCAAATTCCATAAGATCCCTGTGCAGGGCAGTAGAGGACCTTCCAACAGGCTGTACCAGGATTCACCAGGATCAGCCTGCCCGCCTGCCAGGGATCCAGGGGCAGCCACAGCTGCCCTGGGCACCCTGTGCCACCACCCTCCCAGGGAAGGATTGCTTCCCTATACCCAACACAAACATACCTGGAGGAAGATTTTGGCTCCTTTTCCCTCCCAGGTGCAGCTGGAGCAGTTTTCATGTCCTCAGGTAGAATTAGATGGATCAACATGCTCGAGGTAGCCCAGCAGAGGATGTGCCATGTCCCAGTGAGATCCACGCAGAATCCTGGAATGGTTTGGGAATTGGTTACTTTGGAAGCAGCTCCTTGAGAGGAGACCTGCACTGATAAATAAACACAATTAGTTAAATAAATTCAGTCAGTTTCAGAAAGTTAAATGGAAACTTGAGGATTGATTTCCTACTTCTGTATACATATATGACATATATATTTTTATTATTTTACATATTATTAAACATGTAAAATAACTTCAATATATTAATTTATTTTAATATATAATGAAAATGTTTATATATAATTTCTTAATATATATAAAGCATTTTTTCTTAGAAATACATAATTGTATATCTACAAATTTATCTCTTGGAATATGTAACTGATCTATAGGCATCACTGGGAATTAAAAAGAATTGATGCAGGAAATCAAGATCCAGGAGTTGGGAGACAGTCCAGGATTTGGAGAAGTGCTCCAACTGCAAACTGGGATCAAGGGAAAACCCTTCAGGAACTCTCCTGCTGCAAATAATTTTTACAGTTCCTGATGATGATTATAGTCTGAATTTAAGCCCTTGAGACTCAAATTGACTCCTGTGCCCAGAGTGTGCCTGCTCTGACTAAATCCCACATTTCCCACGTGACTGTCAGCCCGCCACCCTTCACCACCAGGCAGCAAGTGGAGAAATCCATGCCCTTTTTCCATAAAGAAATGTTTCAGATAGAGCAGATGAGTCAAAGCCCCCAGACACTTTGCTGTCTCCATCAGGGGAACCTGCGGTGACTCACTCAAAGCCTGCAAGGAGAGAGGATGAGTCCTGGGCTCAGATGACTCAGGTCCTGAAACCTGGAAGCAGGAATCATCAGAAAACTGCAGCTGGGGTGGAAAATCAGCCTTGCCTGGGTGGAAAGGGACACTGGAGAGGAGGTGGTGAGGGACAACAGCAGGAGGTTTGGAGGCATCGAAGGAGCCGGGTGCACACGGAATTATGGAATCCTGTAATGGGTTGGGTTGGAAGGGATCCTAAGGCTGCTCTCGTTCCACCCTCTGCCATGGGCAGGGACACCTTCCACTATCCCAGGCTGCTCCAAGCCCCATCCAAGCTGGCCGTGGACACGGCCATTTGTCCCTGGAAGGGATGCCATTTTGCAGGGGGGGAGGGAGGTGTTCTTATTTAGGGACAAATAAATACAATGACAAATACAACAACATCCACAATATAACAATAATGCCTTGATTTTCCACATTAATTAGCGTTGCATCAAATCGACAACAGACACCGTTGAAGTGATTTCCAATCAATTTGGGTCAATTAAAATGAGATCAGCATTCCTGATTGCAAGTTCATCCATGTGCGGCTTCAAGGGAAAAGCACCCCCCTCCTAATCCAATTTTATCCCATCCAGCAAAAAATTGTCCCAGAACCACTTGAAGTTCCACCCTTAGTTAATGGCAGCTTGAGTCAAGATACTCACAGGTCCTTGAGCTGAAGTCCTCAAGCCCCATCTGTCACACCAGAACCAGGAAGTTTTTCCTGTTCCACTCTCTAACGTGGCTGGAAGATTTTAACTTTCACACCTTCCCCACATGAGCAGTTGCCAAAGGGTCTCTGAAGTGCCTGGAAACAGAATGAGCCTTCCCCAGAGGCCTTGGGGTCCATCCTGGGGTTTTAGGGCTAGGATCCCCACATTGGAACATTGGAATGGATGTCTGCAGAGACGGAGCGATGCTGCTCATGTGCACAATGGCATCAGCAGGAGTGAAACAAAACCAAACTGGCTTGTTGGAGACTTGAGCTTGAAAGATTTTTTAAATTCTTCTCTATTTCTATATTACTTTTTAATTATACATAGTTATATTTGTATGGTCAATTAAAATGAGATCAGCATTCCTGATTGCAAGTTCATCCATGTGCGGCTTCAAGGGAAAAGCACCCCCCTCCTAATCCAATTTATGACCGTTCCCATCCAGCAAAAAATTGTCCCAGAACCACTTGAAGTTCCACCCTTAGTTAATGGCAGCTTGAGTCAAGATACTCACAGGTCCTTGAGCTGAAGTCCTCAAGCCCCATCTGTCACACCAGAACCAGGAAGTTTTTCCTGTTCCACTCTCTAACGTGGCTGGAAGATTTTAACTTTCACACCTTCCCCACATGAGCAGTTGCCAAAGGGTCTCTGAAGTGCCTGGAAACAGAATGAGCCTTCCCCAGAGGCCTTGGGGTCCATCCTGGGGTTTTAGGGCTAGGATCCCCACATTGGAACATTGGAATGGATGTCTGCAGAGACGGAGCGATGCTGCTCATGTGCACAATGGCATCAGCAGGAGTGAAACAAAACCAAACTGGCTTGTTGGAGACTTGAGCTTGAAAGATTTTTTAAATTCTTCTCTATTTCTATATTACTTTTTAATTATACATAGTTATATTTGTATAATATAGCTTTTACCCATTATACATGGCAGGGGAAAATACACTAAGTAATGGACATATTAAAGGAAATGATTGCTTTATCATAGCAATTATCAATTTTCTTTCGTACTACACATTCCCTAGAGCAAATGGAACCTGGAATTGTTTGGATTGAAAGGAACCTTAAAGACCATCCAGTTCCCCTGCCGTGACCTTTTGCTAGGCCAGGGTGCTCCAAGCTCTGGCCAATGCAGCCTTGGACACTTCCAGGGTATAATTTTACCTGCTAAAATTCTCTTCCTCTTCTCTCAATCAGGGTTTTAAAAATTGAAGGAAAAAATTTATGAATTAATAAATAAAATAAATAAGGAGCCAGCTGCTGCTCAAGAGTTGCCCACTCTTCCCTAACAGACAGGTGTGTTTCTGGTTCAGAAATGAGCATTCCTGCCTTCTCACTTCCCTCTGGACCCCCCGTGCCGGCTGTTCACCGCGCCCTGTGAAACAGGATCAATTCCTCTTCTCCCCTCACTGCCCCCACAAGCAGCTTTCACTTCCCCATTCCAGCTGAGTCAGAGGCTCATTGCAGGGAGTCATCTGACTGTGTGCCAACGCTCTCCTCCTGCTCCGTCTTGGTGGTCACCGCAACCTCCACAGCTCTGCCCTGCTGTCTGGGGCAGTGAGAACTGAGTGAACACTTCTCCCCGTGAGAAAGATTCACTGTTTTCCTTTCTTGAAGTTTTTTTCTGGCTCCTGTTTGCCCATTTGAGACCAAATAAGTTCATTTTGAAAAGCGATTTTGTATCACGTGCTTCAACACGGATTCAGGAGACCCACCTGCAGTCATCTTCACCAGCCAGAGAATCCTGGAATGGCGCATACTGGAAAGGACCTTAAAGCTCACCCAGTTCCACCCAGGAGCTGTGGATGAGCCTTGGCAGGTGTGATTCTGCCCAGGGCTGAGCCCCTCCACGCTCCTGCCCGCTGTCAGCTCTGCCTCTCTCACACCTCCTCATCTCCTCATGCGGCGCTCGATGCCGCCCGCAGCCAAGGCTGGCTGACAGCGGGAGATGGATGGGGCTGAGCCGGCTCCGCGGGGCACGGACACGTGTGGGGGATGCGGGAGAGCCTGGGAAGGGGGCTCCTCCCTGCTTCACATCAGTCCTGGCCCTGGTTCCAAATGCAGGAGCTGCCCAGGCTGCCCCACAGTGCCCGGGGACACGCGGTCTCCTCTGTGCTACAATCTTCAAGTGCCAAACCCAAGGCTGGGCAGAAGGCTGAGCCCCAGTTGGAGAAAATGTCCAGCTCTGTGCAGAATAGGGAGGGAGTTCAGGCCAGTGCTGCCATCACCGGGACACCAACAGGTACAGAAAAGCCATCAGCATCCCCACAAGGACATCCCCTGGTCCTCCAGACCCTCTCCCAGAGCCTCAGCATCCCTCATCCCTGTAGAATACACTCCATGGTGTATTGAGACAGCGTCCATGGCTCCAGTGCAGTTTGGAGGGGAGTAGGGGAGCTCTGGAGTAACCCCTCTGCTTTTCCTGCTGAATGCCCCATCCCGGTGTCCGTCACCTCCCACAAAGAGCCCTCAGCCCCGCGGCGCCTGCTTGTCCCCATCCATCTCCTGCTGTCACTGCAATGAGGGGCACAGGGGGTCCCAGGCACCAGGGCAGAGACTGGACCTACCTTGGGGGGAATTACAGGGAGGGGGCAGCTCATTCCTGCCTCTGGAGCTGCAGAGGCTCTGCTGGAGCAGTGGATCTTTACCAGCGCCTCAACACCTCACCGTGGTTTTCAATATCAGGTGGTGACGGCCACGTACCGAGAGGGGCTTTGCCTGGGGGACCCCCCACCTCCCCCCGCTCAGATCTGTGATATGAAGGGACAAGAAGACCCCAAGAAAGATGTCCCTGCCCAGCCCGGGGCATCCCAAGCCCCGTTTGGGGACTGGTGGTGGTCCCAGCGGTGCCACCGCTCACCTCCCGTCCATCATCACCGTGTCAAGGCGCGAAGGCAGGCTGGGGAAGGGGGCTGTGCTCCAGCCCCCAAGGACCACCTCGGCTCCAGCCCCCGCCTCTCCATCCCCGAGCTGGGGCATAAAACCCCCGGCAGGCTGCAGGGACACTGCAGAGCCGGCGCTGCACTGGGAGGGGGCTTTGGCAGGGTCCCACTGCCACCATGCCGGGGAACGGAGCCACGGACACCTCCTGCCCTCCCACCGCACCCGTGGCAGGTAAAACCCACCCGTGACAACACCCCCTGCACCCAGTGGTGGGGTCCTGTGGCATTTTGGGGTGGGGGGGATGGGGATAAAACCCCACTGTGGTGAGGGACAGGAGACCCTGATCTGCCCCCACCTCCATGGAGGAGGGGGTGATGGGATGGCCCTGCACGGCTCCCCATGACCAACATCCCCTCAACCCTCTGCAGCCTTCCTGGGGGGCCCGGGTGAGGGGTCTCCATGCACCCCTGGCCTCGGGTGGGCTGGCGAGGGGCCGGGGGCCAGCGGCAAGAACCGGCACGTGTGCCACGCCGCGGCACGGCTGGAGATGGGCAGCCTCTGGGAGGAGTTCAACCGCCTGGGCACTGAGATGATCGTCACCAAGGCAGGCAGGT